TCCTGGCTCTTCTTTTTCAAACCCACCATCTCAAAGAACTTCTTGTGGTTGAAGGACTCAGCAGCTAAAGGTCCAGAATTGTTAAAGGACTTGTTAGTCCAGTTGCTGAGCAAGTTGGTATCTATATACTTGACTTTCTCACTGCACAGTGTCCAAGTTGCAAGTCCTATCCCAAGATGCCACAGCTGATGTCTGAGTCCCGTTTTGCTAAGCACTGAACCTAACTAGAGTCCTTACCCCAAAGACACTGCAGTCTAAGGTGAAAAGAGAGGGGACTGAGATATAGAAGGATAAAATGACTTGCCCAAGGTCACGGAGAGAGTCTGTGACGGGACTGGAAATGGAATCTAGATCTTCTCAGTCTCATTCTAGTGCCTTAACTGCACGACCCCTTGCTGAGAGTAAGGATATCTTCTGTTGTTGAAAACAGCCCATGGGACCAGAAAGGTGAATTTGGGGTAGACTACCTTACCTTTAAAAAAAAAAAATCTTGGACTACATTTTCTGCTCAACTGCAGAGGCTGCCAATGATAAGAACTCCTTGGAGAAAATGGATATAACTCCCTTTTCTCAAAAGCCCCATCATAAATAGGAGTATTGCATTTGCACATTGCTTTAGCAACTAAAAAGTGTTGTGTGTGCTAGGCAGGACTGCTGCGGTGTAAGACCTTGGGAGGCACAAACCTTACACAAAAACGGTATCTAGTTACTGAAATGAGAGATACGGAGATGAGCTTTTCTCTAGTCTGCTTCTCCCTTCCTGCACCAGCACCTCCTCCAACTCCCACCCATGCAAGGTTACTCATAACAGTGGAATCTAATGCAGTGACCTCCAAGAAGTCTGATGGACTCGCAACGCAGCCTGACTTCTTCCGCAGCAGCCTCTCTGAGCTAGCCTTAAAAAATAAGATGATTCAGTCTCCAGGCAGCTGCTTATCAGGGAGAGATTTGCAACTCCCTTCGCTGCTGCTCCCTTGCCCCAGGACTGTTGGATGTGAGCGGGACAAGGAAGGCAAGCCGAAGAGGAAGGACCTGCTTGTGGGAGCAGAGCTCAGTCCACTAGTCCGCTGCTCCTTGTGCCCGGAGAGGGGAGTTCTTTGGGGCTTGGCTGGCTCTCTGATCTAAGGGCATCCTATCTGGGGAGGAAGGGGTTTCTTCCCCCACCCCTTTTTAAGGAGCGAGGTCACTTGGGGGCAGTTGAGTGGGAGCTGCTGTAGTTCATCTGGGAGCACAGAGCTTGGCTTGAGTGCGGCAGCCAGCAGCACAGGAGGGGTGTCCTGCAGCCCATGCTGACTAAGAGAAACGGGGAATCTGACACCCTGGAGAGGCTGCTGGTTCAGGAGGGAGGCTGCAGCCAGCACCTTTCCCCAGGGCACTCCTTCAGCCTGGCTAGCCGAGCCCATGGAGGGGGAGGGATCCTCCTGGGTCCTCCTTGCCCTGCAAGCAGAAGCCCTGGGGGGGAGCTGGGGGCTTCTCCCCCAACCCTGCCGGGTCCCCTGTGGGCGATCGCCTGCTTGAGGATGAATGCGGGTGTTGGCTGTCGCCTCTCCCTATGCCCGAAGAAGGGGGTTTGTGCCCCAAAGCTTGAAGAGAACCATTTTCCCAAAGAGATCGCTTCGCCCCAAAGAGCCTTGCCCGAGAAGGGAGGACTGAATGGGGCATTTCCCTCTCCAGGGGAAGTTTGCAGCGGCTCCTTCCTAGCATGCTGCTTCATGCCCCTCTTCCCCCTCGGCTGCCTCCTCCAGCCGCATCCTTTCCAGCCCGCTCCCCGGGCGGAATAAGTGCCCCCCTCCCCGGGAGAGGCCGAGGGGGCCACGCCGCTCACTCACCCACAAAGGCTCCCACCGCCTTCTTGATATCATCCGCGCTGAGCAAGTCGGTCATCGCCATCCTGCAACTGTTTGAGCGGGGAGGCAAGTGCGAGGAAAAAAAAGATTCAGAAGTGCTTTTCTCATCATTTGCTCATATGACCCGGGCTGCGGGGACGGGCTGGCCCCGCGCCAGCTCTAGCTCTGTGTGCACAAGTGCCCGGGGCTGGCACCAAACAGTTTGCAATCCCCCCTTCCCCCTCCTCCATCCATGCGCCGCAGGAGCAGC